ATTATTTTTGATATTTGTAAAGAAATGACAAATAGCTAGCAAGTTATCTGACTAAAACATCCTCAAAGTAGTAGATAGAGCTTCCTTTCCTCCCATTAAAAAAATTTTTTTAAATTATCAAAACAACACTCACATACTTACCTAGTTCAGGGCCACTTGTAGTGGGAAAGAGACAGTGTCACACCTCCCTCCCCACTGCTAACCCGACTTCACGGGAACAACCAGTTTTAGATGTTTCAGCTGGTTCTTCTAGAAGCTGTTTCTGAATTCCTAAATTGTAGCCTAGTGTTGCTTCAGGTGTCACCCGCCTCCTGTGATACAGTAATGAGAAGGTCGAGATTGAGGTCAGACGTCACTGATGACGAAGCCATGTTTTGGCTAGGTTTTCTGATTTCCAGACCAGCGTTGGTGTTTTTTTCTTCCAGTAGACTGGGATGCTTTCAGTTCTTGTTCAGCAACTTAGACAGAAAGCCTAAGAAACACAGGTTGCAAGTTTTTCCTTGACAAGAGTTTTATCAAAGACAATTTGGTTAAAAGTGAGAGGGTTCTTATTCTGGAAATTTACTCTCAGGGTCACATGCCAACCACTGAGCTCCTGAGAAAGTACCATCTCATGCAGTTTGCGGAGGTGACCAAAGCTGTGAGGTAGGGTATTCTTCCTTTTCCCTTTGCGACCTCGTGGAAGGCGCAGTCAGCACACACGTCCTCGTGTTGTGAGAGAACTAATGGCGTTTCGACGCGCTCTCGTTCCGGGCGTTGTCCTGACTGTGTCTGTGCGTCTGTCCCGCCGCGCAGTGAAGGCAACCTCCTCCTCCTGAACGAGGCTCTGGCCACGCACGAGCCCTTCTTCATCCGCTGCGGCATCTTCCTCATCCTCGAGAAGCTGAAGATTATCACCTACAGGAACCTCTTTAAGAAAGTGTAAGCAGAGGCCATCCTTTTCACTCCGGGGTAAACTCTGCCCTCCACGGCCCGCGCACCGCCCTGGGCCCGCGCGCCACGGCTGCGCAGGCCGGGGAGCGGAGGTCTGCCAGCCCTTGCGGGAGGAACAGCTCGGGTTGCAGTGGAGACCTTGTAACAGACGTCTTGGCGCCGGCCCTGAGAACCAGGCGTTTCCCATTGTGCCGGAGAGTGTGGGACCCATTGCCCGTGTCCTCGGTTGGTGACCCGCTGACCCTCCCCACCACCCCTGTCCGTCAGGAGGTGGTTCTTTCCTTCCGTGTCACTCTGGAAGTTGACTCTTCTCTGAGGCCTGGTCCCAGCAGGATCTCAGTTAAACTTCAGTCAAAGTCAGACTTTTTCTGGCTGCGAGGAATATATCAAAAGTAGCGAGGACCGCAGTCCATCACACCTGAGACACCGTCCATCGTAAGGTGCTTCTCGATTATAAGGATGTTAAAATGGGAGAACACGTGCATCTGAGATTCACGCAAATAGTCAGTAAACGTAAAGTATATTTGTGCTAGTGGCTTTTTAAAACTGGAAAGTCAGAGTTAAAAGCTCTTATTCTTCAAGTGCATCTGGCGCGGGAGACGCTTTGTTCCCCTGGAACAGAGGTTTCTCCCGTTGACCCCGTCCTCACACCCCGTCCGTGATGCGCGTGAGCTCTGTCCCTCTCCCAGGTACTTGTTACTCAAGACACACCAGCTGGCTCTGGATGCGTTCCTGGTTGCCTTGAAGTTCATGCAGGTGGAGGACGTGGACATCGCCGAGGTCCAGTGCATCCTGGCCAACCTGATCTACATGGTGTGTGGCCGCGCCTCCCCCGGGCCCCGCCTTCGCCGGGAGCTCCGATGCCTTCCTGGTTCCCAGAGGGCTCTGTGCGGGCGGGGTGGATGCACACGGCACGTATTTCTCCGTTCTCCCCTGGGCGTGTTCACTCGTGCTCCCAGGGAGCTGACTGCACGGTGACTGGGGGGGGGGATACTTGTGCCACAGCGCCAGGCCCTTCACCCCTGCAGGCTTGACGGGCCCCAGGCCCAGAGACACGCCGCCTCCGCTCTTCTCCCACAGGGCCACATTAAAGGCTATATCTCGCACCAGCACCAGAAGCTGGTCGTCAGCAAGCAGAACCCGTTCCCCCCGCTGTCCACGGTGTGCTGACCCCGCCCCCGGCCCCGGGGACAGGGAGCCGGGCCATCCTGGTTCGTATCCTGCCGAGAACTCGTCCTCCGCGGCTGGAGTCTCTCGGGTCTTTCCCGGGGGAGGCTGAGACCTCAGCGTCTCTGACATCACGGCTGACGGATACGCACCTCACAGAGGACTGGCATCCCCTTCTCAGAAAGCGCAGCCATCTCCGCTGGCCCTGGGGTGCTGGTGACGCTCAGGCGAGGGGCGCGGCCTCCGAGGCAGCTTCTGTCTCCTTCTCCTGAGTGTTGTTCATGAAGGCATCTTCTAACTCTTTCTGTAAAAAAAGGTGATCTGAATTTATACAAAAAGGTGTATTCTTTACCGTATCTTCTGGGATACGTCTTTTTATGTTAAATTTGAACATTCTGTGTGGTCAAAATGCTGGGTTAACAGTGCTTCTTTTTACAAGCTGAACGTACTTTGATTTAAATTTCCCAGGTGTCATAGCTGTTTTTTCAGAGTGTGCGTGTCTCCTCTGTCTGTGCAGAACTTACTAAAGAAGGAAACGTCACGGACTGTAGTTGCTCATCTTCGCTGCAAAGGCACCAAACCTGGAGGCTGCTTGTGCCCTTTGCGCGGGGAAGAGCCACTGTGGGACGTGGAGACACACGCACAGACGCCCCCCCCGCCCCCCCGCTGAGGCCTCCCATCTGTGCCCCCCGCGTCAGCTGCTCCAGCTGCCAGACCGACTGTCCCGGTTGGCTCAAAAGTGTGCAGTGTGCTCCTGGCTTCTGCTCCACGTGGCTCATCTGCAGGGCTCTCCCGGGCTGCACAAGTGACCCACCCTGAAGGCGTGTCGTCCCGGGACTCTGACTGGCGCTCAGCCGGGCTCCACGTGGGCCTCTCCAGTCGGATGGAGCCGCATTCCGAGAGCGAGGACCCCAAAGAAGAGGTGGAGCTGGATCCACTTCTGTGAGCTGGGCTTCCGAGTCAACAGTGTGACCTCCACCCTGGGCATGTCCAGACTTGGGCGTGGGGACGGGCAGTGCGGAGGGGATGGCCTGCCGTGGGTGTCAGGCCCCCAACCGCCTCCCCCCACCAGTTCCTTGAGCAGGAGAGCGTGGCCTGGGGGAGGCGCAGACGGCCATGGTGAGACCGTCCGTGTTTCCCGGGGCACTGCTGTCACGGCATCGCTGCTCCGCGGGGCCGGGCACACCCTCACGGACGAGAGCTGCGTCCTCGCTGCGGGCTGGGCGCTGGACTTCTGGGAGCGTGCCTGGATTTCATAGCGTAGAGAGCTGGGCATTTTTAACACTTTCAGGTATTTTCTTGAACAGTAGAAAATCAGGGACTGACCGTGAACCATAACACGGGGTCGTACTTGGCAATGAAAGAAACAGAACCTCGGGCACGAGCATCCTGCGTTCCCACTGGTCTGGAGGCCTGTGTGTGGCGCGGCCGGCCTGGCCTCGTGAACACAGGCCTGGCGTCATTGTTCGCACTGCCCCCAAACTTGGAAGCCCACAGTCCTAACCTGGGTGTGAATGGGTGTGGCCATCTAATCAAGTTCCCTTTTCTTGCATTTTATTGTTTTGATTTGCTTACCTCGTGTGGTTTCTAACCATTTATTAAGTTATACACGTGACTAGAGCAGTTTTCATTCCGCATGGCCCTCTGCGTTTCAGCTGCGTTGCAGGCCTGTATCTTTCTCTGCAGTGGTCCTTCTTTTTATAGAGCCTGTAAATGCTGTAGGGAGATCCTTACCTCTGCCTGTGCTGTGTTTGTCATAATTTCCAGGTAGGGTTTCTACTCTAGCAAATCCAGATTTGTAGGGCAGGTTAATGGCATCATCAGCGAGGTTGCAGGTACCTTTACGGAATTATTTAGGTAGAAGTTGCAGTGCGCATCCGCTGGATTTTGAATCCTTGGTAGCCATTCAGAGCAGTGGCCTGATGCCCTCATGACAGTTTGAAGATAACAGCCACATTCAGTAAGACGTCAGAGTCCTCTCCTGTTCCTCCACTGCCCTTAGTGTCCCTTAGTTCGCGTCAGATTCACATATTTATTTTTGCTAAGGTCCTTTCAGAGAAATGGGCCAGCGCATCTGCAGATTGGCCAAAAAATGGCTAACTCTGGGGTTGATGAGGTATAGTATCAGAAATGAAACAAGCACCGTGCTTGTTTAAGGATTGTTACTTAAAAATCTGAATTGCGTTTAAACTCCGTTCTCCAGTGAGGAGAGTGTGTCACAGTTTTAACCCCTTAAAACAACCCTCCGCTCCCCAGCAGCGCGTCAGGAAGGAGCCCGCCCCCGCCTGTGCCTTTGGCGGGAGCCGCCTTCAGGCCCTGCCGTGGCGGCCGCGGAGCTGTCAGCCGTGAGAGCCCTTCCCTCCCTCGGGGGAACTGGGCACCTCCGGCTTAGACATTAACGGGGAAATAGACGTGATGTGCACCCACGCGCTCTCGCCTGCCGGTCGGGCACCGGCCGCCCCGCGCCGCGGGTCGGGTCTGCGGGAAGCGCCATTCGGGCTGTACTCGCGGCCCGTCGGCGTGGGTGGCGGCGGCGTCACGGGGCCGCGGGGCTGTCGCCGCACGGTCCCAGCGCCGCCCTCGTCGTGGGGCTGCGGCCCTTCGGCCCAGCCGCTCCGCTGCTCCCGCCCCGGGGTCGGGCCCGCGCAGAGGCCCGCGGTTTGCCTTCCAGCCCCTCGCGCTGCCCGCTCCTTCTGCCCTCCCGGAGCAGGCGGGGAGGTCGCTGCGACGCCGCCGCCCCCGCGACCGCTGTTGGACTGAACCCCTCTGTTCCCTGGCGTTTCAGGAAAGCGCCGTTCGGTGCCGGCAGGTCTGCTTTTATTGCTGGGCGCGCGCCCTCCCCCCTCCTCCCCGGGGTTCTGCTCAGACGAGGGGTCCCGGGGGAGGGGCTGAGGGCGCTGTCACCCCAACCCCGGCTCCTCGTCGCCTCTGTGACCGTGGTCGCCTCTCCGGCTGGGGGAGCTCGGCTGCTGCGTGACTCGCCGGAGCCAGAGCGCGTATCGGGGGACCTTGATGAGCAGGAGCGGCCGAGGCCCTCGGGGGGCGTGGCGCCCAAGAGGCCGGTGAGGAACCAGGCGCCGCGGTGCTCCCGGGCCACCGCGCCGCCCGCCGCCCGCCGCGCCGAGCCGACCGCCGCGCCCCGCTCGCAGACCGTTCGCGTGGTCACCGTGGTGTTGAGGGCCCGGCCGCACTCTCCGGGGTCCACGTGCGTGACCAGCAGCCGCGCGGGCTCCAGCTCGGGGCCGCGGAGGGTCCAGCCGCCCAGCACGCCCGGCCGCGGGAGGAGGACGCGCTCGGCGAAGTCGGCCTCGGCAGTGCAGACGGGCCGCCCGGAGTCGGGGCAGCGCACGGGCCGCGCCAGCTCCAACAGGGCCACGTCATTGTCCCCCGTGTCCGCCTCGAATCTCATGTGCACGTGGACGCCCTTCACCTCCACCGCCGGCGGGGCCTCGCGCGCCAGGCAGCGGGAACCTGGAAGGAGGCGGGGGG